AACAGGTGGCTGTAGTTGGTGGGAAAGCTTTAAAATATGACGGATCAATAGTGAGGGAGAAAGAGCCAATAGTGATGGACAATAACTTAGGAATGAGAAAAAGATAGAATTTGAACTTATATGGTAAAGACATGTAAATTAAATAAATTGTTTACCGTAATTTACTGGATATTTTAAGAAAAATAAGCTTTGTCTTCATATATTTAGATAAATCTCCATACGTTGGGTTGGGATTTATATAAAATTATATTAAAAACAACAATAAGTGATAAAACAAGCAAAAGAAAACATCTTAATAATCTATCTTAAGATGCCTTAAGAATTTTTTTCCAAAAGAATAAATAATATTTAATACAAATTAAACTAATTGCTAAGACTTTAACAATTAATCTAATTCAGTCCAACTCAGACCTGGACATGTAAGTTTAATTCAGGCAAAGCAGAGCTTGGACCATGGGTTATGATCAAGATGAACTCAAGGTAACATCAACCCTACTCACCCTTGACTGAATCCATATGATTTATACTTGTACACTGAATGCAAAAAAAAACCAGTTTTAAGTAAATATATTATACTAGTAAAAGGTATATTAAAACATTCCTCAATAGTTCAAACATAGATATTCACTCATAGAGGAAACAAGGCTCACTTCTGCATAGGTCCTCTATTATTTGATCGTATTTAACTTTTATCCCATTGTTTACGTATAGTAATCAACATTGCTAAACACCAACTCATGATTTATCTCATGTATGGAAGTTTGTCTTTAGCATCACATCCAATTTGATTTCTAGCTTCAAACTGATTCTGAGTGTATAGTACTAAGATCAGTATTCCACAAACTTGCATTAATACATATAATTAAAAATAGCTGAGTTTCATAGTATTGAGATTTGCAAGCTGCTAAAAGAAATACAAACCTTCCTTTGGAATGTAGATGCATCGTTTGCGCCCTTTGGAGATTCGCTGCGACAAATATCCCAAAAGAGAATAAAGATTTAGAAAAGAAATGAACTAATGATTAGGACATGAGCACCACTCAAGAACAAAATGCTTTCATATCATATTGCTGTTTTTATATTACAACTAATAAAGGAAGAACAACATAAAAAATTGCTGTCTTTGTCCACTAAATTTCACAACAATTGTTTAGAGGTCAAACTGTTGATTCAAATAACGCAGCTGCAATATATATCCATACCAGACACAATCAATTTACCTTAGCATGTACCCAGACGTGGCATACTAAAATCATTTTAACTGATGCAAAAAAAGAAACTTGATGGAACGAGGAAAAATCTATGCTCAGAGACGAAAGAAAGTACAAAAACAAAAACAAACAAAAATAAGAGAAGCTCAGAAAGATCAGTGGGAACAGGATACGCACGTTTCTCTCCATCTAAGTAGAGCTTCCAAAAGAGGGACGGGTGTATGTCGTGCAATCATAGCTAGAGAATCCAGTACTTGCTCATAGGCCGGGTCTGACGGCCGTAGGTATTGTCCATCCTGCAAATTCCCCATATAAAGGAAAAAAAATAATAATAATTATGAAACATGAGATATGAACCTTTACTGGCTATACCAGCATAACAAGAACAAAAACCATTATCTTATGAAATCATAAAAGGTTTATGTCAATGGCAAATTACCTATTTATACCATTTATTGATCCATTCTTATAAAATCACATCATTAAAAGATAAAATGAAGACAAGGGCTTAAAGATTTTACAAGTAATCTTACAGATACCCTAACGTTCGATTATTGCATATTCAAGCTCTACATAGTATCAATGATAAACCGACAAAATCAAACCGAACACGGACCTGAGCTTGGGCGGTTTCGATACGGCGTCGTGCAAGCGGGAGGAACCGCTGCAACAATGCTTCTACAATCAACTTGGCAGCGCTTCCTGCCTTCATCTTCTAGATTTAACTTCACACTTAATTGCAGAAGAAAATTTAAAAAAAAAAAAAAAAAAAGATTAATAAAATTAGGGATCCTGAAATTTAGATGAGAAATGATTGAAGAATGAAATTACAAGTACCTGAAAGTAGTGATGCCGGTTAAAACGACGTGGAATTGGTGTCATTGTTGAGGATCTAACTTGAAGCCGACCAGTGTCTGTGGTTTCTTTTTCCGTTGAACGAAGAGCATGTTGTGTAATAAGTATAACGTTAATAATATCGTAGCCTGGAAATTAAGCTGAAATTAATTATTTTATTTATTCATATGATCCAAAAATATTTGAAGGAAGATTATAATGCATTAATTCCCTAAATCCAAAGGTTAATTTTTTTTTTTTTTTTTTTTGTAAATTATATGGGAAAAAAATTGAACAAAAAAAAAAAACTTATAGTATATAAAATAGTCAAAAGTGATTTCTATTATATTTCAAACGGATGGATTAGCTTAGTAATAGAGTTAACAAACTTTCCACCTAATAATTGGTTAATGAATTTTCTATCCACAACTTTTAAAATACCACTTTATTACCCAAGTTTACCTTACAACAGCGAAACAAAAAAGCGAACTCGGTTCAAGTTATTAGGGCTTTTGAAGAAAAGAGTCCGATGAGTCTTTTGGTGGTTGAAGGTTAGATTTTGGTGGTTGGGATTGATCGGAATTTGACTTTGGAAGGGCGGCTGTGTAAACTCTAATCGTTCGATTGTTGGCGATTGACAGGGTCGACATGAGTAGGGTTTGAGGGGTTTTTGTGAGTGAAGATAGGGGAAGAGAATGGTGGTGATGTGAGATCGCAATGATGTCAGAAACATAATATAAATTTGAATAGTAAAGTGGTATTTTAAAAGTCTATATATGGGAAAGTGCCATTAAATCATTATTTGAGTGTGAAAAAGTTGTTTACTCCTTAGTAATATGATAATAGATAGAGCTTGCTTTATTAATTACTACACATTCTGATTATGTTAACATAATTTTATTATCAATGATTATTATTATGTTAGACCAATTAGCAACATTATCTTATATGTTTTATCCCAATAATAACTGAGAATTAAAAAGAGAAGGAGTGAATAAAAACTAGGAGTTTATGCTTATTGATTTTAACATATACTTTTCATTTCTTTTGTAAGTTTTTTTTTTTTTTTTTTTTTTGGTAATTTGATACGATAGTTTATAGTTGACATGTGCTATAACGTGGAGCGAGTTAAAATGACGTCGATTACAATTGTGAAAAGAAACGGCATAGTTTTACTAGGCTCATACTTTTAAGCACTGTTTTAAGATCGGCCCAGCTCGACCGGTTTAACCGGGACCTGGGAGCTTCACCAAATCGAGTTAACAATTTTTCTATTCACCCAAAACCTTAGAATTTGAGATGATAATCGGCGAAAAATTAAAGGTCGGAATATTAGGGCTTTTAAAGAGAAAGTGTTGGTGAGTGCTATGGTGGTGACGGGGTTGATTTCTGGTGAGTGAATTGACCGGAAATCGAAAAAACAGGCGGCGACAACAATCAGTTTTTGCTGGCGATTAGTGAGGCTAACGGGGATGAGGTGAGGTGGGTTTTGGTCGAGAGAAAGAAGAGAGTATTTTTGGGGTGATGAGGAGGGTTGTCAACGTCGAAGTCAGTGATGTCTGGCCTATAATGTTGGTGTTGGTGAGATCTAGCTGAAATTAAACAGATTTTGGCCAAATCTTTGGTAAATTTCAGGGGTGTATTTGCTAAATTTTAAACTTGTAGGGACTTAATTACTTTAGGGGTGTATTTGCTAAATTTTAAAAGTTTTATCACCCAGTTTGACCGCCCGATCAAGTTGGTCAACCCGAGACCTGGCAACTTTGCTAGGTTTCACCCTAGGTTGGTTATTAAAATATTGCTTTTGTACTTCGATTCTATAAAACAATTCTTCAACGAGTCCCCACTCGGCATGGTAGTGAAGGAGGAGGCTAAGTCGAAGGCAAGAGATGAGCTGGCTGAGTTATTGAATCCTATTTTCACCTGCATATTCACCATGTTCAAATTTGAACTCTAGGTCAAATCTCAAATCTGACTTTTGAAAAACATACATATAGGAAATTCAAAAATTAAGAGCTTATTTGGTTGAACTTATAAAAATTAGTTTATAAGCATTTGAAATTTTAAGCAGTTACGTATTTGGTTAAAGTACTTACAAATGATTGATAAGTAGTTGACGCGTTTGATAAAATATAGCTTATAAGTACATTGTATTATTATACGATAGAATTTTAAAATTAAATAGGGATAATGTGATAATATATTTGATAAAATTAGCTTATAAACAAAAAAAAAAAGTACCCCCTCTTGTCGCCGGTAATTTTTTTATTTTTTTTTACTTATAAACTCAATTTATAAGTAAAAAAAAAAAGTTATAAATAAATAAATCAATTTAATTTTAGAATTTATAAGCTCAGACAAACACTCTTTAAATATGTTGATATTGTTGCAGGGATGAACAATACCTTAGAAATTTTGGAGAAGAAGGAGTGGAGGAAGAGAGTACAAAGGATTTGGCTTCTAGATTAAAGGTTAGAATTACAATTAAAATGTTGATATATAGAAATTCGAAATTCAATCTTGTGACAAGTGTGCCCTAGGGCTGAATTGAATAGTTTAATAATTGTAAATGATCAAAGAAAAAGATTTAAAAAATAAATTTGAGAAATTATTATATATATTAATAATATAACCTTTATTGTTATAATTGAGAAATTATTGGATTTTATGATTGAATTATTAAGTTTACTGTATATATTTTCAAACTCCTATTACTTTCTTAATGTGTTTGCTATTATTTTTTTCTCGTAAAAGTGAAAAATATTATATATCACAGTATATCCACTTCTTCAAAATTAAAAAGAAAAAAAAAAATGTTAGAAGTAAAAAATAAAACTGAAAAAAGAAAAGAAAAGAAAAAAGAGATGGGCATTTTTGTCACTTGACACCTTATTTTGATAATATGATAAGAAGTTTTCAGACGTGTCACTTGCTACAATTCAAAATCCCTTTCTATGTGGCTATTTAAGCTAATTTTTTCAAACCCATTTTACGTACGAGCCCAGCCCCGTCAATATCAGACCCGACCCGCCGGATCGCCGCCTCTGTAAAGTTGCCGTCCGCCATAATCCACAAACGCTGTAAAACCACTCTGTCGCAAAATTCTGTGTTCAAATTTTTGACACAATGACGACAACCGCCATGCCTCCTCCACCGCCCAAACCCCCCGCCGAAGAACCCGCCACCTCTTCAACATCATCAACAACAACGACAACGACAACGATAGCCCCTATGGCCCCACCCCCACCCCCACCTCCTCCCGAGAACCCTAACCCTAATCCGAGTTCTGAAAATCCCTCAGCTGACACTGAAGAACAAGACAAATCAAATTCCGTCACCCAGCATGGCTCCGTGCCCTACAAGATTCCTGAATGGAGTGGACCCCCCTGTCATAAATTCTACGTCGAGGTCCTCAAGGATGGCTCCATTGTTGATCAATTCGACGTGTAAGTTTATTTTCTTTTTATTAAACTGATGAAACGATGATTAGTTATCTACTTGTCATGTATTGTTGTGTAACCCGTTTTTGTTACTGATTTATACTGTTATAATACGAGTTAGACAATATTAAATTAACATTGTTGTCCCTAAAACTGTTGAGCACTTTGGTCACAATGTTGAGTTGAAGAAATATGAAGTTGTGATAATTGTTGTTCCCATTAACATTACCAGGATTTGCGTCGAGGCATCTTATCTTTTCTCAATAAAAATAACAGTTTTCTTGATTGTTAAAGGGTTTAATGTTATTACTATTCAGGTGCGAGAAGGGGGCTTACATGTTTGGACGTGTGGACCTCTGTGATTTTGTGCTTGAGCACCCTACGATTTCTCGATTTCATGCAGGTAGATATTTCTTATTCTGATTTTCTTCTTTGCTATGCAATAATATATTTCTAAACTGGCTTCCATTGGTTAGTTAAACTGTTCTAACTGAATCTCTTGTTCCTAAATTATCAGTTATTCAGTTTAAGAGAAGTGGAAATGCATATCTGTATGATGTCGGCAGTACTCATGGTACTTCTATTAACAAGAATCAGGTATCAAAATGCCATTTTTTTTTACTTACTGTTTTTTTATAGAATCTGTCTAATTGTATTGCATGTTTCAAATGGTTAGAGAAAGGTGAATCTTTCTACTATTTACTGGAATGTTTTAATTCAATTTTTTCAGTTGGTCACAATGCAATTATTTTCAGTTTCCCACTCCAATTTGTGTGTGAAGAACATACCGTAGGAATTGAAAAGAAATTTCAACCTTGACTTGTCCTTGTAATTTTACTTTAGTGATTTGAATTAGAAGTTTCAAACCATGGCAACTATATCAATCTTTTGAGATTTCACAAATTTTAGCATTCTGTTAATTTAAATTCACATTGAAATGTATGCGTACAAATGGTATCATAATGATATCTTACCCATTTTATGAAGTTCATACTTGTTTGATACTATCTCAGTCTACCTAAATAGTCTTTCCTGTGAAACTCATATCTTCCTTTCTCTAAATAGGAATGCTAGTCAACTTGTAATACTTTTTCATTGTTTTTAACAAGTGTAATACAATAATCCTGATCTTTTTGTCCTTTGGTTTTCCAATATTACCAGGTGCAGAAAAGGGTTTATGTGGACCTACATGTTGGTGATGTCATTCGTTTTGGCCAGTAAGTGAAATGTAACATGACTGCAATGACTTTGTGATATTATTTCCTTGTCTATGTTTTGCTTGTCCACATTTCCAGGTCACTTGACGCTCCTTATGTATTTTTTTTGTTTCACTTGGCTAGTGTGATTTTCAGACTCTAGGTATCTAAATATTATTGTAGATTATGCTTTATCTGCTAGGAATTCTTACATGTTATGTGTGTACTAGTCCTACTAAGAAGTATCTTGATGAATCTATGGTGGTTTGACTATGGCAATAGTCTTGCTGTTATACTTGTGAAGCTAGCTGCGTACAAGCTCCTTAAAAGCAGCTAGCTTGCAAATAGCTCATAAAGAATTTCATACTAACAGCTTAAAACAGGTGATGTGTTTCCATGAAGGAGACTGCTAAGTTCTGCTGCCTCTAAACCAATTTGTTTAAGAATCAATTTTAGTTCTAGTGGATTTAAAGTTACAGAATAGTTGTCTGGTCTAAGAAAGTCACAGCTACTTCCTTATGGCCCAAGTAGTAAAGGAAACTCTTTAAAAGATTTCAAGCTGACACATGGACCTGACATTAGAATAAGAGCACTTCAAACGTTTATTTGATTCTGCATCAACTTATGAGTGCTTAGCTAATGGCACTGATTTCTGTCAACAACTATGTGGGTGATCTATAAAACTGAAACAAGACTTGAAAACTTTGATAACCTTGATGTTTTTTTTTTTTTTTCCCTATCATTATTTCATCTGTAAAGTTGACGGTATAGCAGTGCCTTTTCTCCTTTGTTAATTGTGTTATTTAATCAACTCTTGGTTACACTACATAGACTTGGTTGTAATTGTCCAGCTTGTTCAGTGTTATCATGGTATGTGATATAATCCTTTTTTTTTTTTTTTTTTTTTTTTGTTCTAGTCTGACCTCTACTAGATTATCGGGTTGTATGTTAAATATCTTGAAATGGAAAAAAATGGGGATATTACCAGGAAATGCTCATGGTTTTCCTAACTTACATGATTAATATTTATAAATGTTTTTTGCTCTTTATGTTTATTCTTTCACAGGTCATCTCGATTATACATTTTTCAAGGACCATCTGACTTGATGCCACCAGTAAGGCTTCTTTGACGATATAAGTTTTATAGTTATTTGGTGGCTAGATATGATATAGCATCCTGTTACAGATTTTACTTATCAATTGTCAAATTACTTGGTTCTGTAGTTTACTGTTTCGTTTCATTACCCCATTTTGAGCATTTGCAATTCTCCTCCTTAAATTAGAGTTATATATATATATATATATAGGAGCCATGGCACCATACTTTTTCCACAAATTGTGACACATTTTTACCGTTTTAAGCTAGTTGACCAAAGCATATTTAGCCGATAAGATGAAATTTAAAATACATAATGCACCTGAGGAATTATATATATTATATGCAATCTCAACATTTGAAGTATCCTGATCTAATGGTCTACAACTTGTGTTATGATTTACATAAAGGATGTGATACCATTTATCCTAGACCATATATAGAGAAATAATTTGATCATTTGAGTTTTTGAGCTGTTCTGTCTACACTGTATAGATCTTCTTGTGATCCTTTTGATGGATCTTAACTTTTGTGGACAGAATATGTAGGTGTTACTTTTGGCTGAGTTTACATGTAAATTTCTGTGTTTGTGATCTCGAAATAATAATAATAAATAGAATAAAATTTTTAATGCTTAAACTTGCATGTATTTTGATTGCCATATTGTATCATCTGGTTTTCCGTTGCAGGAAAAGGACTTGAAAAAAATTAGAAAATCTAAGATCCAACAATTGATGTTAGATCAAGAGAATTCACTTCGACGAGCAAGAATGGATGCATCTCTTGCTGATGGTATCTCATGGGGCATGGGAGAAGATGCTATTGAAGAAGATGAGGTTTGTCTTTAATTTAATATAAAATCGCATGAGAATGCATATCCATACATTCTAATACGTTTCAAATTTAAGTTTCCTGAAAGGTTTTAGACTGACTATAAATTCTAGTCTAAAGTTCAGAAAATTTTACTTCAATTGCCCCATATATTCTGTATACTACTGATTCACAATTTGGGTTCTTTTGATGTGAAATAAACAAAAAACTTTTATTTTCTGTCTTTCCTACTCATGTACCTTTGTATTTTTAGGATGATATTGATGAAGTAACTTGGCAAACTTATAAAGGACAGCTTACAGAGAAGCAGGAAAAAACCCGCGAGAAAGTGATAAAGAGGACTGAAAAGGCAAGTGGTTATATCTTTATTACACTTCCTTTGTAGCAGTAAAATGTCTAAAACAACTTCTCTCTGGCTGTAACTTAGATGGCATTGTTTCCAGTTTTTTCCTTCAACATTATTACATTAATGTTTGAGCCATTGTTGTTTTGTAAGTGCATACTTCGATTGCCACACATTTAACTTTATCTTCTACTGTAATATTTATGGTATGCAAAGTGCTCAGTTAGAAGCTGGTTACTTGAAATTAACCAGGACAATGGAGAGCTTCAATTAAAAAAAAAAATGTGGCATTTAATGAGGGCTTAAACCTCTAAATAAGGAGGGTATGGTCCTCTTAATTTGAGTGATGCATAAGAGTTAAGAAACACTGAAAGGATTAATTAGAAAAACAAAAAGTGGGTGAGAAGTGGGAAAGCTGTTCTCATAGTAGTTAATGAATTTTCAAGAAACTACAATTCATAATGCAATCTAAGTAGTGGGGAAGTAGGTGTTTGAACAATTTAAAAAATTTAATTCCTAGGGGAATTTAGAGTTGTTTGTGCTTGCAATTTGGTTTTCTGGAAAATCAACTAGTGTTTGATATTTCTCATTCTTCTTTCTTTGCTTAACTTTCATCTTTTTCATGTTTTTCTCCATGATAGTGTTTGTCGTTATTGTGGTCCTTCTATTATAAGGAAGGTCATATATAGGTTTTGGGCATTCCTAAAATTTATACTGAAACCCCACCCATGTTGTTGTGTTGCATGACTACCTTTTTGATTATAGTTGTATTCTAGTATCGAGTGGTACAAACTATTATAGTTCAAATTATTGTTGGTTTGCCACTATCCTTATGAGCTGGACATAGCAGCATAGTTTTTCTCCAGTCATGCAATGCATACCAACCATGCCATATTTTCTTGTGAGCAGCCTCCTTTAGTTATGATTTTGTATTAGCTTTTGTCAAACTTATATCAGTAGTGAAATGTAGCTTAATAGCCATTAAACTTGTAAGGTATAGTTTTCTTGTGTTTTCTATTAAAGATTATTTCTGCTTGTTTGCTTATGCGCCACTTTTCTAACTACAGATAGCTCATATGAAGAGAGAAATAGATCAAATTCGTGCTAAAGATATTGGTCAAGGTGGGTTAACACAAGGGCAACAAACTCAGATTGCTAGGAATGAACAAAGAATGACACAGGTGGGGATCTTTGTAGATGAATTGTTAGCTGGCCTCAAATCATAAAATTCTGGTTGTTTATGGGGCCAATTCTCTTTTCTTTTTCCTCCCTCCTATCTTTTTTTTTTTTCTCTTTTGACATGAAAGTTTTGATAGATCATGGAAGAACTTGAAAACTTGGAAGAGACATTAAACGAAAGTATTCGAGAAAGTATTGGTGCGCGATCTGGAAAGATATCTCGTGGCAAGAAAAAGGGAGATGCAGAAGATGATGAAGAGTATCTGAGGTAATTTTTTATCACAATTTTTTTTGAGTGGCAGATTTTGATGATTTAGTATAAATGAAAATGCATACTATGATTGCATCTCCTTGCAAATGTTTGGGACCTCAGTGTAAAATCATCTTCATGGTTCTTTATTTTGTTAGTACCTTCTTACAATATTTATTATTACATATTGTGTGCTTTGTTTTTAAATGAGAGACTGAATTTTGGCTTTTCTTCTTCAAGTTGTGAAAGGATAAAAGTATGCTATTCCTTAGAGAGATCATGATTACTTGTACTTAAATAATACCACTTATTTTTTAATGCTTGTCATTGTTCAGTGATGATGATGAATTCTATGACCGGACAAAGAAGCGGGCTCCCATTCAGAAATCTGGTGAAAACCAATCAATTGAAACTGCTGATACTCTTCTTGATAAGAGAGATGCAATCATGAAAGAAATGGAAGACAAGAAGGAGTTGCTTGAGAAAGAGAAGAACAAAATGGCATCAGAAACTGCAGTAGAAACTGAATCTGGAGATGCACTTGATGCCTTCATGTCTGGACTTTCATCTCAGCTAGGTGGGAATTTTACACTCGAGAAAACCTCCAGAAATAGTGATGCTTGATGTTTAAAAATTTATATATGAAAATGATTCAGCTAAATTTTCTGTGTCTGTTATTGTTCAAACACAATTGTTCTTGAGTAAGTGGATATAGCAATAAGGGCATATTAATGAGATGCAATTTATCATATAAGGTCCCCTTCTTCTTGTAATTTGTTTATGGTTCTACCATGAACATGAATGTTTTATTCAAATATGCTGACTATAGTATCTGTCAGTGTCTATAATCACATAAACGTATGTCATGAGTTACCCACACTAATGAGCCAAGATTCAAATACTTCAAGTTTCACCTGGTTCTCACCTTGTGTGCATAGACTATTGTGTATTTTTTTTTTTTTCCTTTTAAGTTTATGATTGGCTAATTCTTGTTAAAAGAAACTGACTTACTATATTTGTTGATTTCCCATATTTTGCCATCAGTGCTTGATAAAACAGAACAACTTCAGAAGGAATTATCAACTCTACAATCCGAGCTGGATAGGATCTTCTACTTGTTGAAAATTGCTGATCCGGCTGGAGAAGCTGCTAAAAGAAGAGATTCAAAAGCACAGGAGCCAAAACCCATCAAATCCGAAATGCCAGTTTCTGCCGTCAAGAAGAAAGCTCCAGAGGAACCCAAGGGAAGTGGTAAATCAGGAGAACCAGTAAATGTCTCCATGCGGAAAGAGACAACTCCAATCACTCCTGTGGAATCAAACAAGAAGCCTGAAGTTGACAAGGTTGTCAGTGATACAAATAAGGAGAAAAGTGCTGCTTATAGTATTGCAAAGCCTCAATGGCTTGGGGCTGTAGAGGATAGGGAAATGANATAAGGTCCCCTTCTTCTTGTAATTTGTTTATGGTTCTACCATGAACATGAATGTTTTATTCAAATATGCTGACTATAGTATCTGTCAGTGTCTATAATCACATAAACGTTTGTCATGAGTTACCCACACTAATGAGCCAAGATTCAAATACTTCAAGTTTCACCTGGTTCTCACCTTCTGTGCATAGACTATTGTGTATTTTTTTTTTTTTCCTTTTAAGTTTATGATTGGCTAATTCTTGTTAAAAGAAACTGACTTACTATATTTGTTGATTTCCCATATTTTGCCATCAGTGCTTGATAAAACAGAACAACTTCAGAAGGAATTATCAACTCTACAATCCGAGCTGGATAGGATCTTCTACTTGTTGAAAATTGCTGATCCGGCTGGAGAAGCTGCTAAAAGAAGAGATTCAAAAGCACAGGAGCCAAAACCCATCAAATCCGAAATGCCAGTTTCTGCCATCAAGAAGAAAGCTCCAGAGGAACCCAAGGGAAGTGGTAAATCAGGAGAACCAGTAAATGTCTCCATGCGGAAAGAGACAACTCCAATCACTCCTGTGGAATCAAACAAGAAGCCTGAAGTTGACAAGGTTGTCAGTGATACAAATAAGGAGAAAAGTGCTGCTTATAGTATTGCAAAGCCTCAATGGCTTGGGGCTGTAGAGGATAGGGAAATGAAGGCCGGCCCGAAGGAAGAGGCTGCTTTAAATATTGAAGAGCCTGATCAATTTGTAGACTATGGAGACAGACAAAAAATGCTGAGCAAATCTGACGATGCTTCGCTGAAGGTGGACTCTGGGATTGAGTCTGCTACCTCTGGTCTGATTCTTAGGAAAAAGCTCCCAGTTGAGCAACCTGAAGGTATTGAAAATAAAGCTCTTGATCAGTCAACATCTTCCTCTGTGGGAACTGAATTGAAGGCTGAGGATGCTGTGGCACTTCTATTGAAACATAAAAGAGGGTATCATGGAGAAGATGATGAGGGAAAGTACAAAAGTGGAGAAATGCTGGGTGAGAATCAACCGAGAAAAGATAAGAAAAAGCCTAAACGAGTGCTTGGGCCTGAGAAGCCTGCATTTCTCAATAGCAGTTCAGACTATGAATCATGGGTGCCTCCTGAAGGTAAATTCTTTTATTTCTGTATTTCATGTCTATAGCAGCAACACTTAATAATTTGGTATTTTCTCATGATTTTATGATTGTCATGTTTCATCATGTAGGACAATCCGGAGATGGACGAACTTCACTCAATGAGCATTATGGGTACTGAACTGAGAGGCCAAATTTCTGGTTTTATAAACTTCTTTGAAGGGGCACCAAAAAGCTGTATTGTGAGACAGTTGAGTGAGGTAAGATGCAATAGCTGGAACTAAGCTGGGGAGTTATCATTCGCAATTTTGTGCTTCTTGGTGCTTGATAGAAATAGACCGTGATTCTCTGATGATTATGCCATTATTGTCATTGACCAAGTTGAATTATGTGAAAATTTTGAGAGATCATGTATACTTGGTTTTCTGTGACCCAATATTGACCGATTCGTTATGGGAGGTGATTGTGTAAGCTTTGTGTAAGACTATGTAAAGAACTTAGGTGTTACAGTAAGGCAACTTGTGCCTAACAGGGTATGTTCACCTCGGATTGTTAATTTTTCTGTGTTAGTGGGGCCGGTTCTCCTCGATATTCACTTGCACTAATGGTTCAAGCAAGTTGTATACTCTGTTTAAATAAAATTATTTTAGTTTACTTTTAGCTCCATTCTCTCTATGCCAATGTTATGCATCAATATTTTAATAACCAACCCGAGGTGAAACTCGGCAAAGTGGCCAGGATTTGGGTTGACCTGGTTTGATTGGTAGGTCAAATTGGTGTTTAAAGGTTTGAAATTCAACAAAAATACCCTTGCAAATTGCATATAAGTTCTTTAAGGTTTGAAATCTTGTAAAAACACTCTAAACACTATCCTTGGTGTCGATAACCCATGCCAAATAGGGTCTATTTTTGGTGACGATAATACTTTCAATCACCAAAAAAACACTTCCCTCAACCTTTTAATCAAAACACATCTCACCCCTCCCCTATTCACTCTGCCAATCTCCAACAACAGGTCATTTTGGTTGATTGATTTTTGCCTTTTTCGGTCGATTCACCCATTGGAAATCACTCCCTTCACCATCTTTGGACTCATCAGCACTTCCTCTCCAAAAATCCCAACATAATTGTTGTCATATGCTCACTGATAGTCGTCTATAATTTTAGGATTAATTTTAGGATTTAGGGTGAATAGTTAAAAGTGATAACCCACTCGGCAAAGGCTCCAAGTCTTGATTCAACTGGCCGAGTATCAAAACACTATTATGCACTAGAAAGCAACTCTTGATTGTAGTAGATGAAAATCTTTATGGTGATTAGATGTTACTAACATTTGATTTGAGTACACCAGTTTGAATAGGTGGTTTTTGGATGAACAGTTAAACAATTTTTACTGTTTAATATGTAACGTTGCACTGATATAATAAATAATGATGATACTACGCTTACAAACCATTCTCATTAATACTCTCACAAATGCGACATAATAAACCCACATGAGAAAAAATTACAAGTTGTCATGTTACAGGAGAAAAAAAAATTAATGAAACAGGGTTTGTCAAGTGATCTTGATTGAATAAATAAACCCATATGAGATATTAACAACCAAATAAGGGTTTAGTTCAGTTCTGTTAGGAACTTAGGAGGTATTCTAGTTGAAGCAAAGGTGCAGCAATGTCAGCAGATTGGTAAAGAGAGATTTGAGATCACACAAACGCTTTGTTCAGATAGCTAAAAATTGCATGCGACACACATCAACCGAAATATACATGACTCATCTTTACATTTCTTTCTCATTAATTTGTATGGCATGATCACAAGAAGTCGGATGAACTGAGTTACAATTGTAATTAACAATATCATTACAGATAGCAGTCAAAACTGCAATTTTTTTAGAACAGCCTGCGGCAGCAATTAATAGAGAAATTATCATCCCGTCAGTTCAGATCAGTCGCAACTGTGTATGTCCTTGTCCCCCAAGTGAATCTATAAATTAACTGTGAAGAAGCTCCTTCAAGTAACACATAATTTTGAATCTAAGCTTTTGATAAGGAGGACTCATTAAATGTATCAGCTCCACACTTCTACCACCACAGAATGCATGAATGCTCTGAAACTAGAATTTATGTCGACTATACAGGGGTATCAGAAGATCTGAGTTTAAGACCAAGTGAAGATATACAATACCATATGATGATCTTGTTGATGATTTTCTCCATATATGTACAGGCGTGTGCTGCAACTCTCCATGAAAGTGCCATGTTTTCTGATAGAGCCAAGTTTTCATCGCCGTGCCGAATCAGGTGCTACATGTCAGATAAAAATTGATCTTCTGAACATGGGTTTGCTTGCATGTCAGAAAAAAGAGAGGCTCTTGTAATAGATCAATTGAAGAAATAGGGCGACTCTAAAACATCTCTTAGATCAAAATCTCCCCTCTCAGGCAACGGAGGAAAAGACAAAGCAGGACACGATTGTTGAAAGCTCTCCAATAACTGTGCACAAAACAAACAACAATTTACATCACCACCCTAAAAGAAGATAGACCACAATATCCATATTCCTTCTGTCCCTTTTTTTTTTTTTGTTTTGGGGGGGGGGGGGTGGGGTTTGTGTTCCAAGGTAATCTATATTTGCATATCTTATATCATATCTACTTTGCTTTGAAAACAATGATTAATTAAAGAAATGTAGGTACTGTCGGGTGATCAAAAGTTACTACATAAGTAGATAAGTATTCTTTTTTCCCTTTCAAAACAACAGTTGACCAGCTGGAAATGCAGATTGATCACTTTAGAGTTGACTTCGTCGACAAACTAGAAGAAAAATAAGTTGGATATATCCACATCTTAATTAAAACTGGTAAATGATAATATCTGACAATGGAAAATAATTGAAGATTTAGAGGTGAAGATACTTACATTCTCCAGTATCGGTTTTTCATAAAGTTCAACAAACTTTTCTCTAAGAATCCTATTCATTTCGTCAACATCACATGCATGTGTCCAATATGAGTCATGAACCCCTGTAATCATGTACCAGTTCACAATAATAAGAAAATTTGAAATTAAGTGGCTGATGGCAGAAAACACAACGAAAAGCACCTGCGAAATTTAAGCCTGCATTTCTACAGGCAACAGCAGTCATCATCATATGAGAACTGTCTAGGGAGTGGACAAAATTTGGTGGGAAAGCTGTCCTTTGTCGCCTGACCATGACCTATAGAAGAAGAAGAACCACATTGTTTGAGATTTGGCTAAGAAAATTAAATACTAGTGATTTTAATGTTGATCTCATATAAAATCCTAGAAACTGATGAAATCAAATTACACAATAGAATCGCATGCTTCTCATTGGTAATGCTAAGATCCAAGAATAGAGCCGCTCTTTTGGTCACAAAAGCAGGTTATCATAGAATTTCTCATTTAGATGTGCTAGGCATGGAAGATGAACACCACTAAATCATATATATGTAAAGTGAAATAAATAACTCAACAACAAAATAAAGAAAGCGAAAAAATAAATAAATAAATAAATATTGTTTCATGGTTACCAAAATAAAAAAGACAACAAAGGCACATACCTTATCGGTTTCGCGTTTAAAAGTTAAAGTCTGAAGGGAAGTTTGGACCTGAATCAAATTTACAAAGAAGGTAATTGACTGGAAATGTTTTTAAGTCTTCACATATGTGATTAAAATTGGTGATAGTATCTAATACTTACACTATGCCTCCCTAATTTCCGGTAAGGTTGCACAACAGGAAGGCCAAGAGGAGTTGTCCACCGTACTGGCACATTTTCAGATGCAATAACCTGTAACAATTAAAGATTTGTAATCATAACTAATAGAATGACAACTTAGCATATTTTACACAAGTGTGTTATAAACATATTAAAAGAAGAAAGACACACCTTAGCACATTCAGCAAGCCAGTTCATGATACCACGTGCAGCCTCAAACATCTCTCCTAAAGCAGTTAAAGTTACCTGCTCAAGGAGAAAAATCCAATCTTGCCATTAAAGATAAAATCTTTACAAGAACAGACACAGGATTTCCTAGAGCAAGCCACTGAAATTTGAGGAATGAAAGGAAAGTAGACAAGAAAGAGTGTTTGTCTTACCTTTGCAGCATAACAAGAAGCACCAAAAGTCCCTGTATCATCTGCAATCACACCACGTTCCTTCAGCCTTCTCTTGATTTGATCACGAGCACCAATGTAAGTCACACCATATACTGATGTCATCACAGTTTGCTTTACTAGTTTCCTATCCACCTAGTTGATGTCCAGCCATCAGAATAACTATCAGTGACAAGACAAAATCACAGACCAAACAGGAAAATGCATTTGCTACGAGTTATCCATTAGACAAAAGAGCGTTTCAATACAATTTTTTTTTTTCCCTATTTCTTTTTCCAGTTCTTACTATGTTGTTTCATTACGACTCAAGAAAAGCTTATGGGTGACGACATAAATTGTTTTACATCTAGGGCAAACTTTTCCAATAAGCTCTCTTTTGGATAACCAATATTATGTTAGAAATTCAACTTTATACTTTCTTTAAATAAAATCTTAGTAATTAATTACCAGTAAACTCTTCTATATTTATAAAACCAAATAACCAACAATTTTTTCATTAAGATTTATATTTACAAAGAGCTATAATTAAAGAAGCCATATCAAATGGACCGTAAATGGCAGTGTACAGTCCCAAATAACCAATTCTCTCATGCATTGCAGTCTATAGTCTACTTATGTATCTACCGGATAACATACATGGTTATTAACTAGTTTAATTTCATCTAAATTATATACCCTTTGATGATACCATTCTAATAAAAAAAAATAAAAGTTGGCTGAAAACCTGGCTTAGTAAGATCTTTGCATGCAAAGCATCGGGAAAAATTGCAGGATCCTGTTGGGCATCTCTCCGCATAATATCCAATACCCTGCAAAGAAAATATGACCTCTCATCCTCATATAGCTGCCTTAACCGACTTAATCAGACGTTTAATTGGTTTTGCACTACCATAAATATTAGATATAAAATGAAAATATCTTTACGGATTTTAAGCAGAATCTACAAATCAAACTAAAATAACAGTAATTAACCACAGATGTTAGGTTAAAATGTTATACTTATCAGGCATATACAATTAGTTGTCAGTTTTTCTGGTTTTCAAGCACTGCATATCTAATTGTAACACCAGCAATTATAACAAGCTCTCGCATAACAAAATAGATAATGTCAAACAAGTTTATGGGCAGACTGCTACCTGCTTTAACCCTACAGGAATTCAGCATCTACTCATGAAGAGTTGGCATCACACTATGGTCATCAAAAACTAAGTATGGGATCATGCTCATTGCAGCTACTAGTTCTACATTTTTCCCATTCTCTTTTTGTAGAATTTAAAGCTTCCTCTATTCTGTCAGGAAATGGTATGAAATTCCAGAATTCAGGACCTCCTTTATCAAATCAAAAGTTAACTTCTGTCACTAAAACTATATTCTTTATATTTCAAATTTCATATAAACCTATACTTAAATGAATTGTTTCAACAAAAGCACACTTATCAATGGTTACCTATTTTCTTTCTTCTTTAAAGGAGAAGAAATTTAAATACTCATTTGAATCTCACTATTTCAACAAAATAAAGAAAGCGGTGACCCGAAGGATTCATTTTTCACAAAGAGAAAAACAGCCTACCTAGCGGCTATTCCTGAGTAAACATCCGCAGGCTTCTCTCCTGCAACCAGGTTAACAGCGACTGCTCCTAACTGAAAAGAGAATTTCCAATTAGAAAATAGTATAACAGCTTTAATCATAACTGCCAAATGCAGAAAAACCACAACCTTGTCTCTTCCAAGTGCAGCATAGTGTTGTAAACCATTGCAGGAACCATCCTAGAGAAAAAAAAGAGGGAAGAAACTTTTCAGCACTACAACAATAATAATATACCAGATTCCAACCAGAGTGTGAATAGAGATGAGATACTGATATTTAAAAGGAAAAAGTGACAGAACAGATGATTAATTTGTGGTCACCCATCAAAATGCATAACATTCATGTTAAAAACCAAGGCTTTAAAACCCGGCCCGGGGTAAAACCCAGCAAAGTGGCCAGGTCCCAGGTTGACCAGTTGAACCGGTCTCACCAGTGAACCAAACCGGTAACATCAACATGTAAAAAGGTTTAAAATTGAGCAAAAACACCCCTGAAAATCACACATAAGCTCCTACAAGTTTGAAATCTTGCAAAAACACCCCAAATTATATCGCCAGCGTCGACAACCCAGGCCAAATACGGCCTGTTTCCAGCGTTGACAACACACCCCATCACCACGAAAGATCTCCCCTCAACCTCATGACCAAAACCTATCTCACCCCATCCCCAGTCACCTCGCCAATGTTGCTGCCAATATAGTTTTGTGATTTCCGGTCGTTTCACTAACCGGAAATCACTTCCATCACCATCTTTCCACTCACCAGCCCTTCCTCTTCAAAACCCCCAACATCCCAACCTTCAATTGTTCGCCGATCGTCATCCTAATTTCTAGGGTTTTTGATGAATAGTAAAATTGGTAACCCGGGCCAGTGAAGGCCCTGGGTCCCGGTTCAACTGGCCTGGGTTTTAAAACACTGTTAAAAACCCAATATATGACACAATTCCAGCATCAAGGTTGTTGACAAACACAACTTAGCTTTCTGTTTGAATTGATAAACCTGGCAAGAGAAACATATCCCATCTACTTTTGTACTGAAAATATACACAAAAAGTAGTACACACACAAACACAAAGTGGGAAAGAGAGTATAGCACACAGATTTTATGCACCCAGTGTTGGCTAAGCTCAGTGTAACTCCCTTACACAAGATCCATCTTTTCTCTTAAGAAGATTAAAGACTGTTTAAAGCAGAATTTATTAATGTGATTTCTACCACATCAACTTATCAAATTTTCTCAGAAAATATGAAGATTCAGTCAAGGAAATTTTTTTAGTAAAATATAAAGAGATGAAACGAGCAGGATCCAGGGAAAAAATGAAAAGGGTACCTGATGAACAGGAATATGTGATATAAATGTCTCTGTGGAAGAGCTTCTCAAAGCTTCGGCAAGATTCATGCATACAGCCAAGCACTGGAATGGATCTTCTGCCTTTAACCACCACCGTTTTCCTTCCAGTGGTCTGTCTGCAGAATCAAATATATCATCCAAGTGGTTCTCAGTAAAAGCCAATCGACCTTCATGAGATAGTTTGTCCACACCATTAGCATATAGATTAGCTAGGTGTATCTTCAACCAGCGTAAGCCAGACTTGCCAAGAGGACGTCCCTCTGCAAACTCCAAGATACCACGACAGAGATCTGAGCCAAGATGATTTAAGTATGGATGCATGGGGTATGCACGCCCTCGAAAATCAAGATTGTGCGGGTAATAAAAACCTTCTTCCTCCTTCAATTTACGTGCTACCTGCTCCCCAATTGTAAAGAGTTCACATAAATCCTATGAGGAATGTTTTTGATTATTTTTCCATAGATTAAGGGACATGATCTTACCGAAAGTTTAAGTTCCGTGTCACAACGCTGAGAATGTCTCTCCATATTCTCTTTCTTCACACTTCTAACATTCCACCTCCATTTCTTAAGCAGTGTTTCATCTTCAGTATCTGGCTTCTCTGGTAAAGGAATCTGCCATGTAGAAGTTGGCAGCTATGAGTCAATCGAACTGATCTCATAGAAGATATTGAACATGAAAAATCGAATAACCAAGAAAATAAAGGATAAAACTAATGAAATAACTCACATTAATACGATCCACCAAATCAGCAAGACGGCCTCCACTACTCCATATTCTATCTATGACGCTAAGGACCCTCTTATTTACCCTCCATTTGGTATTTCCAAGCGTATCTAAGGCCTGAACAGATTATTTAGACAAATGATTAAGATTAAGCATTCTTTTTAAAGCAGAGTTAACTGCATGAAACATACATATGAATACAAGTACAAAAAGTGGTTACAAGTCCCATAGCTGAGTACAATAGATTTTGCAGATCAAACAGAAAAAAAATAAAAATAAAAACAATCATGCAGCAAATCTAACTATTTTCCAAACCTGAAAAATTGGTTCTAGTTGCTTCATGGGGGCCCTCTTAACTGCCTCACGTTGTTGTCGAACTCCATGTACTCGCATGACATAGGATGGCAAAAACAAGTGTGCTCCTTTATCATAACTGCAAAGGACAGAAATATATGGGGCAGTAAATAAAGGGTTGACCATGCAAGCTTGAACAATTAGCCTGACAAGCTGTTTATACACATTTCTAAAAAAGCATGGTGAAATTTTTGAAAGCTATGTTTGACCCCCCATTATGAAGATCAATACTGGATTTCCAAGTTATCCAGTTTCTGTCTTTGGATTTACTAATTTATGTCAGACCATTAGAAGCAAGATTCAGTTTCAATTGAACAAGCCTTTAGGTATATTAAGGAGATTTAGTCTCCAAGGTCATTAAGTTTTAATAAGGTCTAAATGCAATGCAAAATGTTCAAAGGTAAAGATAAGAGAAAAGGCAGCAAAAGTGGCAACGTGAATTTAAGCTACCATACCCTGTCCATTTGACTGGAGGCACCAACATCGGCATATAAGGAATCACCATATGTCTTGCCTGTTGAAGAAACAACTTTTATAGTTCCTCATGGATGAAAAAACTGAATGCAAACAAAAATAACTACAACAAAAGTTTGAAGACAGGCGACTCTAATATCCCAGAATAATGAACTACAATAATGACAGGATTCACTCACAGTTTTCTCCAGCCCTTTGAGAACCAGTGGGTCACATTCAATATTACCAAATTTTTTGCCACTGGCCCTGCTCAAAGAAAAGCCAAAAACACCAGTTTGAGGTGATTAACAGGAAAAATTTATCTGTCCAGGGGACGTGAGGAATGACTACTCACTTGTTTTCGTTTACCACAGCTCTTAGCGTATGCACAAATGCAGGTCGAATATCAGGTGGGCTATCAACCAACTGATTAAGTGGAGGCTGTATATAAGCTGTTTGCATCAACAATTCAATAAGGCGGCTTCCAACCTGGAAAGTACAAGACCAACCAAATACCACATATTTAAGAAGCATATAATCAAATAAAACACAAACTCATACTAGACATTGTAAGAGAGCATGGAAACCTTAGCCTTCACTCCAAGGGCCCATGGTTTGCAATCATCTTGTTCCTTCACTATCTGCCTCACTGCAGGAAGCTTTTGTTTCTTAATCAAATTGGTGACCTTTTTTCTCAACTTCTCCTGTTCTATGATAGAAGCATCAGATTCTCCTCCTGCAGTTTCAGTACTTATATATCCTTTTTTCCTTCTTGTTTTCTCCAAAAACTTGTGAATTCTAACCTGAACCATCAAGGAAATAATGCTACATCAGCACTCAGTTTAAAAGAAAAAAGGGTGGAGGGCATGAGGTTGCACTAAGTGTACTCACAATAGCATGCCCAAAATACAATGCATTACGTTGACATGAGGCTAGAAAATATTAAGTTTCACCAGGTAAAATTCATGCCCGATGTTTACATAGGCCTACTAAGAATCATATACTCAATCATATTCGAACAAGATTACCAAAGGATTCAAATCAAGAGAGCCAGTTATTGAATATAACAATAAATCTCACCCACCTCTTGCTCAATGGCATCACCAATCATGCAAGCAGCCTGCACAACTCGAGCTCGTCCATGGTCACTTCCAGTCATCAACAGCCCCATTAACTTATGCATTGTAATAACCGCCATCTTATCAGCCGGCAACCGAAAAAAATACGAAGCATACGCCTTCTTATTTTCCCCAATGCGACAACGCTCTTGCTCCTTAACAATAGCATCCCTCAGAGGTTCAAACCATCCCAGAAACAATGACTTCATATATGGCAAATTTGGTGCAAGTTTTTGCTCACACATATCCCGCAAAAGCTCCTTATATTCTTTGGCTGCTTGTTCCCATGCCTCAGTCTCAATCTTCACTTGCCTTCTCTTAAGCATTTGATACTTCTTAGAACCCATTCCGTGCCCAATTTTTTTACTTTTTCTCTGAGTATTCACTCCCTCTTTATGCTCTTCTCTCTTCATTTCTTGCAACAACTCCCGAACTTCGTCAACAACTGACACATCTTCTTCAACGTCAGTTGAAGAAACAGCCTCAGCTACACTGGCATACCCTCTCAAACACAAGCCATTACCCCAATTACCATTCTTCAAAACTCCAAAACATGGCCTCCCCAAATAATCCTCATGACTAAAAATCTCACCAACCGGACGAGAACCCAGTTCATGATTTCCGCCAGAACCCAGCTCCAAACATCCAAATTTGCACTGTCCACGAAAAATCGAGTCTTGAGAAAACCCCAGAAAGCTGTAAGCACGTGAAAAGGGTTTTTTACAATCAAGGGAAGAAGATCTCAAAATTGCTTGCCTAGCAACGTTTCTCCACATAACTGAGGAAATATTTTCAGGGTTTCGATAAAGAAGCAGGGTTTTATTGTTATCACAAGGACCCAAGAGATGAAGTTTGTGGGCAGAGATAGGGGCTTTGGTATTGAACATCAATTAATAAGTAAAAATTGTTTATGGAAAATGAATGATGGCATAAAGAAATGATTTGGAGATGAAATGAAATGGTTTTGTAAAAAAAATGAACTCATAGAGAAGAAGAAGAAGAAGTAGCCGCCTTAAACTTGAACCCTTCTTAAACCTTGGGTTTTTTTGGCTAGGCCTTTTATATATCAATTATCAATATTCTATCTATGTTGTTCAGATTTTTTCTTGATACGTAATTAGAAGAAAATAGAATTGAAAAGGGTCGGGTTCACCCAGAATTTTCCATTCTTTTGGGGTTCTACAATAATTTGATTGAGATATTCGTTTAAACAATAATGCGATGCTTACTTACGAGTTTATTAATCGTCTTATTACCTTTGTTAAAATTATATATGATATCCATATTATGCGTATAATATCCATATTATACATTATATTTATAAAAAATAATAAGATGGTTGGTAAGATCGTGAGTAAACATAGCATTACTCTTCGGTTAAAAATTAAAACCTAAACAAAGGTTGAAAAAAATAATATTACTTTATCATATTAAAAGAGGGTTTTTCGGAAAATAAAAACTATGAATATTATGTTATTAAAATATTTTTGATAATCAACTCAAGATGAGTGAGAAAATTTCGATTATCAAATCATTCATTACCATTTTTTATTCAAAATTTCTTGATTATCTTTCAGAATTTATTTATATTATTTACGCGGCATATAACAATAAATAAGTAGAAGATATAGATAACATATTGTTTTAATCAATTTTAATCCAGAATATTATCATTGGAATATACAACAGGTTATCAAAGCATTAAACCAATAAAGTTTATGTCACCGATTATATTAATTTTTAGGATTAGGAGAAAAAATACATAGTTATGTATTTGCTGGTTTGAGGCATAGATAACAATGGGTCCGTTTGGTTGGTTATTTTGGATAAGATATTGGGAATAATATTAGGTAGTTGAATAGGATGATTATTACAATGTAAAATTTAAAAATTAACAACAAAAAAACCTCTTAAGTTTGCTAATTTAACTAAACACTCCAGTAAAATGACAAAAACACCCCCACCCACCTACAGTGCCAGATTCCAGCCACCATCGCCGAAATCTTGTCGGAATATGGCGTTACGATGCAGATCGATTGGATCTGGCCGATCGTGCGTCGATCTGGCCAGAAAATGCCAGATCTAGCCGTCAACGCCACAAAAGGCCAGATTTGTTTGTTAGAGATGGCCAAAGATATGACCGTCAACGACGACCAGATCGGCTAATTACCGATCAGTTTCGGTCTTTTTTATACCGTTGTGATAGATTCCGATCACCACCGACGGTAGTTGCCGGAATCTGGCAACTATAGGTGGGTGGGGGTGTTTTTGTTAATTTTTAAACTTTTTCCTAAGGGTGTTTAATTAAATTAATAAACCTAAAGGGTCTAAAAGTTATTAAATAAAATATAATAGTATTTCCTAAATAATAAAACAAACAGTTATTTTGAAAATATGATTGAGAATAGGGTAGGAAATAAAGAACCAAACGGACCCAATGTTTTAAAACCAAGCTCGGCCCGACCCAACCAATTGAACCGATTCAACCAAGACCCGAGTTATCAATTTCTCTATTCACCAAAAACCCTAGAAATTAGGATGATAACCAACGAACAATTGAAAGTCGAGATGTTGAGGATTTTGAAGAGAAAGTGTCAATGAGTGCAATGGTTGCGACGGAAGTGATTTTCGATGAGTAAATCAACTAGAAATCGAAAAAACTCATGACAACAACAATCAATGTTTGGTGAGGCAAACGAGAGTGGTGTGATATGGGTTTTGATCAAGACTCAAGAGACTGAAGAGAGTATTTTCGTGATGATAGGGAGGGTTGTCGACGCTGACAGTAGTGAGATTTGGCCTAGATTATCGACGTCGACGGTGATAAGATCTGGTTGAAATTTAAACGATTTCGGCTTGATCTTAGATAGATTTTCTGGGAAATGGCTCAAGAGATGATTAGGATTGCATTTGGTGTGTCGCCGTCACGCACTAATCGACTGCCAATTTGTATTTGGAGTGTGTTTGATAAATTGCAAACCTGTATGGACTTAACATAAGTTTCAAGGATGTATTTGCTGAAATTTAAACTTTTGGACACCCGAATTGACCGGCTAGTCAAGCCGGTTAAACTAGTAAGCCCGAGACCCGACAACTCTATCGAGTTTCACCCCGGATTGGTTATTAAAACATTGGTAGATAATACGAAGTCTTTGCATACAGATAATGGAAATGACGATATTTAACCGAGAGGGCTAATGTCAGTCCATTTAAAATTAAAACAAAACGAAAAACACATTTATTTTGCTCATGAGCCAGGCATGTTCAACTTTAGAAACTGGATCCACTCCAAAATATACTTGCCTCCTCCATCAGACAATTTAGATGGCAACCACATTCTTGGACGACCAACATTTAACATAATTTGAGAAGGGCAAAGATTTCTTCATAAATCATTCAAAGAATTGAATATTCCAAATAACAGTGAATAAATTTGACAATACTCCCTCAAGACGATTGTCAGAGAACTCGAGTCTTTCCTTATGCAGTATGTTAGTGATTTGATTTAGTAGTAGCATACAAATAAGCTTCAACTACACTCAGATATTTACAGATAGCTATAATCAGTGCTGAAATTCTAACTTCATGTCCATTACAGAGTAAATACTAGGAAAAGTAATCAGAGTACTACTGCATAATATTGCTCTCTGGTTCCCTACTCCCAAGCCGACACAGGGGCAGGAAGTTTTTCTTACGGTATTGTGGCTATATTGTCACCTTTTAGAACTGTTACTGGCAGAAAAACTATGAGTTAGGCATAGGCTTTCTGGAGAGACAGGGCCAATCTAAATTGGAGACTCNCGAGTTTCACCCCGGATTGGTTATTAAAACATTGGTAGATAATACGAAGTCTTTGTATACAGATAATGGAAATGATGATATTTAACCGAGAGGGCTAATGTCAGTCCATTTAAAATTAACACAACACGAAAAACACATTTATTTTGCTCATGAGCCAGGCATGTTCAACTTTAGAAACTGGAACCACTCCAAAATATACTTGCCTCCTCCATCAGACAATTTAGATGGCAACCACATTCTTGGACGACCAACATTTAACATAATTTGAGAAGGGCAAAGATTTCTTCATAAATCATTCCAAGAATTGAATATTCCAAGTAACAGTGAATAAATTTGACAATACTCCCTCAAGACGATTGTCAGAGAACTCGAGTCTTTCCTTATGCAGTATGTTAGTGATTTGATTTAGTAGTAGCATACAAATAAGCTTCAACTACACTCAGATATTTACAGATAGCTATAATCAGTGCTGAAATTCTAACTTCATGTCCATTACAGAGTAAATACTAGGAAAAGTAATCAGAGTACTACTGCATAATATTGCTCACTGGTTCCCTACTCCCAAGCCGACACAGGGGCAGGAAGTTTTTCTTACGGTATTGTGGCTATATTGTCACCTTTTAGAACTGTTACTGGCAGAAAAACTATGAGTTAGGGATGGGCTTTCTGGAGAGAGGGCCAATCTAAATTGTAGACTCCAAGAAGTCCACTTTCATATTGCAATCAGGTCCAATCAAAATACAAAATCAGGCGAGCAAGAGAGCCGGCAAGATTTATTAACTTGGAAAGACAATAAATTAAGATACATAATTAGGTTGATCAAATTAATTTCCTATTTTTACTCTGAAAATGTATATAAGAAACAATAAGACATTTTTCCTATCACCATGACAACCCCACTGACCAATCAAATAACTAAACGTGAAGCAAATTACAACTGCAATTTGTGGACTGACCTTTCCTCTTTCTAGACATTTGTTGCTGTAGGCTTAAAACAATCAATATTGCATAGTCTAACCGTTCTCATCATGCCTCCAAACCTGCCACAATAATTCAGTTCCAGCAGTCAAGAAAACCATGCTGTTGTAAGAATGTGCACCAGTCTATGGTGGCACAATTGCTTAAAGCAGCAGGGAAAAAAAGAAGCAAAAACACTCTTTAGCCAGTTAGATTATCTGACCGGTCAATGCTGTTCCTGGCTTTTTCTGGCAGTTCTGTCCCATTAACAGTTTTCTCAGGGCGATCCATACTCTTTCTTGATTTCTCTCTCCTGTCAATGCTGGTTCTTGATTTCTCTCTATGGTCAACGCTTGCTCTTGGTTTTTCTCCTTGGTCGGTACTTGGTCTACATTTCTCTCTCTGATCTATACTTGGTGTGGATGTATCTCTAAAATCTGTGCTCTTCCTGGGATTCCCTGACTGATCCATAATAAGCCCAGATCCATTTCTCAAATGTGATTTCTCAATCGCTGATATGAACTTCTTGAGATGTTTGATGTATTGGGGGTAAAGCTCCAAATCACAATGATTCCCTCCTTTAATCCATAATGGCTCATACTTCTCTTTACAGAGATCCCAAAGCTGCTTACCATGGGACCAATCAACAACATCATCAGCAGTTCCCTGCAAGTGACATGCAAAGTCAGAAAGCAGCATATCTTGGTGAATAAGGTTGCTTCAGAATCTACAAAATGTACACGATGCCAAATTTGTATGAGACAAATTTCACTCCGTAAAGAACAACAAGCCTACCATTTAACAATGGCCTGAATGTTAACGTTATACACAGTTATATTTAGAGGGCGTGCTCATTTAAACCTCATGGTAGAGATTGATAACAATATATGTTCATATGCAAATACGAGTGCAAAACACCAAAGTGTGTCATACATCTTCATCATGCATGGGCTCACATACACCTAAGCATGCCTCAAATTCTGATGTATATACATAGCAAAATCCCTTAATAAGATATCAAAAGGAAAATATAGTGAAGGCACCCCCTTAAAATTGATTGAATGGCTGTTTAATAAAGAACATGACTACATAAGATGATTAAACTAGTTAGATTTGGTGATCAGCCTCAATTCTTCATCAAGTTCACATGGCTGAATCTGCTCAGATAAAAACTAAACAGAATTTCAGAACAAGGTTGAGTTACCAGTAAAACATTTGATGGTACTGCTGATGATCTTAATCAACAAGTGATCAGCAGGATTCGCCAGCTTAAAAGAGAGTTTGCTTCCCATGTAGGATATATATCCAAATAAAAGTATGAAAATTCCCTCTCCATTTCAGTATTTACATTTGCCCAAAAAATCAACAGCAGGTGACCCAGTGACTCCGTATATGATTAGAGTTCCACATTTTTATAATATGTATGCTATGAATCCTTAATCATTTCAGGATAATGCAAAAAGGCCTCCACAATTTAAGCAGAATGAGAAAATTTATTGGTACTACATCATTAAATACCAACAGTCACATTAAAAGCATTTGTTCATGATCCAAACCTATTAGTTTAAACAATCACTTAACAGTTAAGAAATACTTACATGAATGACTAGGACTGGACAATTCACAAAAATTATTTTGTCAATATTCTGCATCATAAACAATAGAATCAATAAAACGAGTTATTTCCAGATAAATCAAATAATTAAAGACCTCAAACGTCTGAAAGAGTGCATCACACAGAGGAAAAACACCTTATAAATATCAAACCAGTAGGTTCGCTTCACTGGATACATGACACGAAGGCCAGACATGATTGGACTGTGTAGAATTACAGCCCTCAATCTCTGTAGTCGAGTGGCCAAATCTAGAGTGGGTCCACTCCCAACTGATTGCCCATATAAGATAACCTCTTCCTCCTTCGCCCCATATTTCTCTTGAAGACATCTATACACTGCTTCTATGTCATAATAAGTATTTTGCTCACTTGGCTGTTCAGAACATAGAATAACAACCCAAAATTTCAGCAATCTCCAATAAAATGTCAAATCGAATCTAGTACTTCATTTAGTTGCAGAAAAACTTTGGTAACAAGAAAAAAGAAACTAGTAAATTCTTAACAACTGTGTAAAAGCTTAGCCAAGCTTATTAGAGCATCAAAAGGCCCAAATTCATATCTCTCCAATTTTCCCATAATTTCTCAGCAACCAAACATAGCAAAAATCCAAAAACAATACCTTCCCAGTTGATTGGCCATACCCAGAGTAATCGTACCTGCATAAACACCACGAATTCAACAACTTTACACATACAAAGCCCTAAACATTCACATAAAAATATAAAATACATATAAAAAAAAAATTACAAGTATACTGACCCCATCAAGTTGACTCGAAGATGGACACTGAGTTCATAAAACAACTCGTACATTTGACCCAGATCAGCAGCGTTACCGTGCGAGAACAACAAAGTCAATTGAGCCGCAGGGTTCTTAATATATACTGCCACCACCTGATTCCCTTTCTTCGTATCCAGCTTCAAAACGTCCACGTTTTCCCTCATGACCACCCCCGACATCCCCAGCTTCCTCGTCACCTCATCCCCCGCTCTCGTAACCACCTCGTACGACGGCGGACTCGGCGGAAAGAAAGCGAACTTCGCCGCCATCGAAGACGTGACGCCCCCCATTTTAAGACCAAAAACTATAAAACTCAAACTCTAATTCCACTCCGAAACTATTTGGTCAATACATAGTCGAATCTAGAACAAAAGAAAGACAAAACACGAACAGAGACGGAGTTAGGGAGCGTTTGGATGGCGAGAAAGTGAAGGAAAAGAAAAAATGAGGGTTTGGGGGAAAAGCGGAGGCAACTCCGGCGAAAAAATGGAAGAGAGCACGTGTGATAGATATATAATTAAAGTAACTGGGTAGTGATTGGGGTGATGGTGATTGTTTTGAATTATGAAGAACGGGGTTTGGTGATGGGATGACACGTGTCCTTGTAGGGCAATGAAAGTGTTTACTTAATTATTTAATTTGTAATAAAAAATAAACAAAATTGCCAGCGTATTGTGTTTTGTTTGTTTGAGATTTGAGAAGTTGTGTAACGGCTGTAAATTGCTGTGTCGTGTATGGGCAGCTCCGTCACAGACAGTGATTTTAACGATAAAGATTCCTTCTTGATCCAATTTTATTACTTTAAAATGAGAAATATTCTAAAAATACATGAATTAATCACATATTTTAATTATTAATCGTTATCTCTCATTTTTAAATTTACTTTTAGTTTGACAAATTTAATTTTAATAAACATTTATTATTCTCTATTTTATTTTTATTTTTTTACTTTTAATTATAACATAAACCATTAGAATGAATTTTTTTATATTCAATTAATTCTTTGTTTGATGAAACTATAATACTAAAGTTATGGAGAAAGTAAATAAATTTGAATCTTAAGAAAAAAAAAAAAAGTAAGTTTCAGATTTGGAATTGGGAAAAAGGGTTATAAATAAAGAAAAAAAAAACATAATTAATAAATTGAGGAAAAAGTGATGTAAACAAAAAAACCTTATTAAGTTTAAAATTAGGAAAAAATGGTAGAATAAAAACTAATTAAGTTTCAAATTAAAGGGAAAAGGAGTGCAAATAAAAACCCTAATTAAGTAAAGCTATTTTTTATATCAAATTGGGGTTTAAAGAGAATTTTATATATAAAATAAAATAGAAGTATATTTAACAGTAAGAATAGTGATCAATTTGATGGAGATTTAAAATCACTTCCCTCGATTAAATAGAGTGTGAGTTCCTAAATTGTCAAAATCGCGTTTTCAGAAAGCCCGAAAACAAAATCTTGTATATTAATCCATCCATAATAACCTTTTAAAAAAATATCAATTTAATATATTATGGGCTGTTAAATAATAACTCGTTAAAAAATATATAATATAATTTTTAATTATATAAATAAGTTGAAACTTGCTTTATCTATTGTATTATTGTGAATTTTGTGATTACCCATTTTATTTTGCCTATGCAAATATTAATTTTATGGTAAAAATTTCTTGTTTTGTTTACTAAGATTCCATGGTATAATTAATAATTAAAAATACAATAGGATAAGATCTAGGAATGGTTGTATACCAATAAATACCATTAAAAAGAGGCCCATAGAATCAATAATTAATTAAAAAAATGAGCAAAGATTTGCATCCATTTGGCCTATTCATGCCTTGATTTAGTATTTAATATTGTAAATTGCTTATGATTAAAATATAATTATAATTTCAAATGAAAAAGCTAATTGATTTAGGGATTATTTAAGAGTGTTTTATATGACCACTTTCGAATTTATAATTTGGAGATGAAGTATGGGTTAAAGATATGATAAAATAACATAAACTCTCTTCAGATTTCTAAAATAACAAAAAACTCCCTGATGTTTAATGAATTGATAAAATTTATACTATTAAAAAGTTGTAAATATTATCATATTACCCTCTTATCGTTTAATTTAATACTTAAAACTTAACGGTAGAGAATTTTTATTATTTTTGAAACCAAAAGAGGATTTTTATTATTGAGTAAACGCTTTTCCCACCCAAGGTTTGCTTAATGACATTTGCATCTAAAAAGTTTCAAAATACCACTTTCTCACCCAAAGTTTATATTCTATTAATACACAAAGCCGATTCAAGTTGCAAAAATTCACTCCGTCACCACCATTTGAACCTTCAGTCTTTTCTCTACAAAATATCTCTCACTTCGACACTTGATTTTGCGCTGATTGTCGACCACTGCAGAGCTAAGGTTTCTTGTTCTTCGCTGATTTCTGGTTGATTTCAGCGGCAAATATTCAATCGGTCACCACAATTGGATCCACCGATCTTTACTCTACAAAACCCTTTTTACCCTAACTTTTAGTAACTCGCTAAACGCCAATTGAGAAAATGAAGTATATTTTGGACATTAGTAGAATATAAATTTTTGATGGGAAAGTTGTATTTTAAAACTTTTTAGATGAGAAAGTGTCATAGAGGCAAACCTTTGATGGGAAAAAGTCGTTTACTCTTTTGTCATTAAATCATACCTTACGGAATTAATTGAATAATTAGCTTTTATTTGTCGTTTCTTTTTGGTCATATTATGGCTATAAATGATATTTAATATTAATTATGCATGTAGGTGATACTGATTTGTGTGTAAAGTAACCAAATATGGTAAGGACTAGAGATTGTCTTGTAACATTTTCGCCCTAACTAATTTTTTCCTGCATTTATTATTAATTTTAATGATATTTAACATGAAAAATGCCTTTACCATAGTACCTATAAATAATTAATAATCATCTACGCATGCAATAATTAATTGATTTGAGCGTTACCCAAACCAACAACCATCTCTCCAATATGGGGTCTAATTATTAAAGGCAAATGTAGATGCAACTTTTTGATAGATAATTCTTTAATTAGGAGATTCGATATTAATTTTATCGAGATCATATTTAAATAACTTATTTAAAATCTTATAAGTATATTTGAAATGCAACCAAACAACCTAAAAAAAAACTTTAAAAGTGATTATAACTTTAAATAAATTGTTTTGACCACTAAATAAACTCAATCAAACATGATGACATTGAATGAATGATGAGTTCAATACATCTTGTTTAACCGAAAGACGGATATTCCTTGCTTAGTATCAGACAATCACTTGTTCACAAACTTCGTGTGAGTCTAATAGTTTTCATTTCACATCTCATGGAAAACCCTTTTCGCTCTGTCTAGCCCTATTCCCCTCTAGAGGTATTCTAGTCATAGGTCCAATAGGAACCGAACACTTCTATTTGGTTAAATACATAGAGACAAACTCTTATGTTCCTTTCATTATAGTATTTCTGAACAAATTCATCAATAACAAAGATACAAGTTTTCTTATTGATGATAGTGACAAATATTGATGCTAATGATGTTGTCGACCATGACCTTGGTACGGACCTCGAAAATAGATTACATTAGATTAATCAAAGGATGAAATTTTGTCCAAAAAAAAAAAAAAAAAGAAGCTAAAAAACAGCTCACAAAGTCACAAAAGAGTTTGGACACCATGGAAAAGGGGTCATGGCCTCATGGAAAACCCTTTTCGCTCTGCTTAGCCTTATCCCCCACTAAAGGTATTCTATAATAGGTGCTATAGGAACCAAACACTCCTATTTGGTTAAGTACATAGCGACAAACTCTATGTTCTTTTCATTATAGTATTTCTGAACAAATTCGTCGATAACAAACATACAAGTTTTCTTATTGATGATAGTGACAAATATTGATGCTAATGACATTGTCAACCATGACCTTGATATGGAGCTGGAAAATATATTACATTTGATTAATCAAAGGATGAAATTTTGTCCAAAAAAAAACAAAAAAAAATGCTAAAAAACAGCTCACAAAGTCACAAAAGAGTTTGGACACCATGGAAAAGGGGTCATGGCCTCATGGAAAATCATTTTCGCTCTGCTTAGCCTTATCCCCTCTAAAGGTATTCTATCATAGGTTCTATAGGAACCAAACACTCCTATTTGGTTAAGTACATAGCGACAAACTCTATGTTCCTTTCATTATAGTATTTCTGAACAAATTCGTCGATAACAAACATACAAGTTTTCTTATTGATGATAGTGACAAATATTGATGCTAATGACATTGTCAACCATGACCTTGATATGGAACTGGAAAATATATTACATTTGATTAATCAAAGGATGAAATTTTGTCCAAAAAAAAAAAAATGCTAAAAAACAGCTCACAAAGTCACAAAAGAGTTTGGACACCATGGAAAAGGGGTCATGGCCTCATGGAAAATCCTTTTCGCTCTGCTTAGCCTTATCCCCTCTAAAGGTATTCTATCATAGGTTCTATAGGAACCAAACACTTCTATTTGGTTAAGTACATAGCGACAAACTCTATGTTCCTTTCATTATAGTATTTCTGAACAAATTCGTCGATAACAAACATATAAGTTTTCTTATTGATGATAGTGACAAATATTGATGCTAATTACATTGTCAACCATGACCTTGATACGGAACTGGAAAATATATTACATTTGATTAATCAAAGGATGAAATTTTGTCCCAAAAAAAAATGCTAAAAAACAGCTCACAAAGTCACAAAAGAGTTTGGACACCATGGAAAACGGGTCATGGCCTCATGGAAAACCCTTTTCGCTCTGCTTAGCCTTATCCCCCTCTAGAGTTATTCTAGTCATAGGTCCTATAGGAACCGAACACTTCTATTTGGTTAAATACATAGCGACAAACTCTTATGTTTCTTTCATTATAGTATTTTTGAACAAATTCGTCAATAACAAACATACAAGTTTATTGATGATAGTGACAAATATTGATGCTAATGACGTTGTCGACCATGACCTTGATACAAAACTGGAAAATAGATTACATTAGATCAATCAAAAGATGAAATTTTGTCCAAAAAAAAAAAAAAAAAACATACTAAAAAACAGCTCACAAAGTCACAAAAGAGTTTGGACACCATGGAAAAGGGGTCATGGCCTCATGGTTTGGGGTCATTAAGGAGGAGAAACAGGAAGCATTTTTCTCATAATTGGAAACAGAGTGTTTCGATACCTTTGACATTTAGTGAGGGATTTAAGCAAATTTTATGCACAAAAAAGGCTCCACCCATCACTCACTAATCACTACAACAAAATGTTTAGCTTTGATGGGCCATGCTTTTGTTTTTGTACCTAACATTGCACCCATTTTTTCTTTTAAAAATTGCACATGAAATTAATGAATCTCTCCATCTTTTATGGGTTCCCACTGTGTGAAGTTTCAATGTTTGAAAAAGTGAGTCTAATTTGATGTGTGAGATTGCTAAGTTTCA